GGGCATAGCTACTCTATGGGATTCTTTGCCACAAGATGCAGTGATAATGTTAGGGGAGCTGAGAGGTTCCCCAATACAACATACTTCTAAGGGCTCTGTAGGAAAAGGTACTTAGATAGATGCATATTGTTGCTTTCCAACTCAGTGATAAAAAGATTTTCTTATTAGTGGAGATTAAAAAAAAAAAGTGGTTTGGCTTAAGAGATCCTCTGAAAAAGAATTCCTATAGGAAATGCCCAGCCATTTTTTTCTTCTCTCCTTGATCTATCAGGATTCTAGCCCACAGAATTTGTGATTTTCTTAGCCAGTTTCCCTTTGGATCAGAACTACATGGTAGGTTATCCTTTCCCACTGACACATAATGGAAGAGTCCATCACATCCAACGGCTGGTTCTATGATTCTAAGCTTTTCTTCAAGGTCTTCACTGCTCTTGTTTTTGTTGGCCCCAAAGGAAACTGTGCCATAACTTGGCCTGACTTGTGCTATATTTGCTTGTAGGGGACACTGCAGAAGTTTGTAGATGACTTATTCCAAGTGATCCTCAGTACCAATCGTCCTGTCCCACTGGCTGTGAAATATTTTTTTGACCTGCTAGATGAGCAGGCACTGAATCATGGGATCACAGATCCAGAAACCATCCATATCTGGAAGACAAATAGGTATGCCATCAAAACTACTGGAAGCTACTTCGCAAAAGCTTGATGTCTTGATTGTGCTATTTATTGTCTTGCTCTTCATTTCCCCAGAGAAGAGAATGCCCTAGCAAAACTCTGCAGGTACCCAGCCCAAGATCATCTTTGTCATATTAATAATCCCTATTTTACAGTTAGAGTATATAATACTCAGAAAATTATGGGCCAACCTAGATGTGATGGTGAGCATAGCACCAATGGGAGGGGGGTTTTCTCTAAGACTAAAGCAATTAGTAGAAATTTTGTAGGTACTGCAGCGGGGGAAAATAGGGTAAACCTCACCGTTTCATGCTGTATAGACTTGATTAGACTGTAAATTGCACTAAGTGGAGAAATTTCACATCATGAAACTGACATGTTTTGCATGTACAGTAATAACAGATTCTTAATTCACTGGCTTCACTCCTACTCCCAGGGTACTTCATTTGTAGACAGCTCCAAACTAGCCATGATGACATCAATACAATGACCTGGGCCTCGTGACATCATTGCACAAATGACATGATTGTGTAATGATGCCATGACACTATACAAGTACATAACTGACATCATTTGAATCACTGTGTTGTCATGGACATGTCATCTCCCAATCTCCTCTTGTAAGAGATCCTGCTGAATGCTATTGACTGAGCATTTTTTCTTCCTGCAGTCTGCCCTTAAGGTTTTGGATCAACATCATCAAGAACCCCCAGTTTGTATTTGATGTGCAAACATCAGATAATGTGGATGCTGTGCTCTTGGTCATTGCTCAGACCTTCATGGACTCCTGCACCATCGCTGACCACAAACTGGGTCGGGTAAGCCTGGAAGAATGCAGCTTATAATGCTTCTCTTTAATGTTAAGAGAATCTGGAAGTGATGTCCCCCAAATGGTTACTTCCCAGTGCAAGAAGTGTGTGATAAGGGATCCAGGCTTTTCCCTCAAATGGGCTGGTTTCATGATTTGATCTATACCCCAGCTTTCTAGAATTCTACAAGGCTTAAGGCATCCAAAACCCAGAGCAAAAAGGCTGAAGAATTCAACTCCATGAACCCCAAAAGGTTTCTGGAAACCAGAAATAGGGTGCTAGATAGGGGAGCCCCTGTGGTCTACTAGCCATTGGCTGCCCATCCCTGCTTTAAAAGATGGAGAATTAAATAGGAGCTTGTCCTAATCCAACCAGAGGAATTGTATATTCTCATGTCTACCATTATTTTGCAATTAAAATACAGGCATCCTTGTAGAAATCTTGGGACTTAGAAGGAATATAAAGTGGTTTAGGTAGATTTGGTTGGCTGTGTACATTTCAGACATTCAAAGTTTTGTTTGGAAATTATCTCACTCTGGCAAGTTGCTAGCCCTCATTATCATGCATGTCTAATTTTTGGACAAGTTTCAGAATCCAGAGAAAAATTGGGGAATGATTCCTTGGATAAAGAGATGAGATGGAAATACTCTGCCAATCCCTCCAGTGATAGCTTTTTCTTCTTTCCTCCTCATTCCCACCTGAGAGGGTGTTAATTATTTTCATTATGTGTAAAACTTCCTGGGCATTAATTAACTTCTTGCTCCTTTGGTGGCCTTTTCAGGATTCCCCAATTAACAAGCTGCTCTATGCTCGTGACATTCCACGCTACAAACAGATGGTGGAAAGGTAAGGAAGAAGATTCAGAGGGAGGCCAGATACATACAGAGTAGGTGAACAGGCAGAGGACAAGCTGAATAAAATAATAATAAACCTTTCTCTTCTGCAGGTACTATGCAGATATTCGCCAGACCATCTCGGCCAGTGATCAGGAGATGAATTCTGCCTTGGCGGAGCTATCACGGGTGAGAAGCCTCCTAGCTACATCACTCATCTTTGTACATGTTCCTAGCCAAAGCATTTATGAGTGCTGTTCTTAGAAGCAGCATTAGCGCCGAGATGATCATCTTTTGCCACTTCTGTCTTCATGATTTCATTACTGCAATGCATTGTACCTGGGGCTTTCTTTGAAGATCATTCAGAAACTTCAGTTTATCAAAAACAAAGCTTCAGGGTTGCTCATTAGAATTGGCTGATAAAGTCCTAGGAAATCAGTGCTTGTTAGCTGTTTTGGTTGCCAAGCCATTTCTCCATCCGGTTGGAGATTTCTAAAAGCCTGAATGGCTGGAGGGTGGTGGTGATAGGGGTGGTGCTGAAGGTATCTCAACGTATCTCAAGGAACCTCTCTTCATTATGGACTTGCCCAGGCTTTTTAGTCATTTTTTTAGGCTGTTCTTTGGATTTCCTCTCCATGTGAAGTGAAGCAAGTGTCTGCAAGGGACAGACGTCTTCAGGCCTGTTCACTGAAGTCTTTTTGAAAGAAGTCCCTATTCCCCCAGGCATTCCTCTAATTTATATGCTCACTCTCCCTGAGTGGAGGATGTGTTATGTTTTATAGCAAATCTGGGCTGTTTATTACTTTATTCTTTTCATGCTGCTTTTTTGTTGTTGTTGGGTTTTTAATCTTTCTAGTAATTTGGTAATCCACCCAGGGAAATTGAATTACTGCATAGATTAGAAGCTCATTCAGCAAATAAATAAATTTGAGAGAATTAGATCATGTTTCCTGAACCTCCTCTCCAGATATATAGGACTGTGGCCTTCCCTGTGGCATCTTGGCAAAAGAGATTACCAAGAAAACAAGGATTAGTTCAGATAATCCATAGGCTGCAGCCCTCACTCTGATCATGTAGTCCTTGTTCATTCCCTGGCATCTCCAGCTAAAAGGCTCAGATAAGATATGATGAGAGGCCTCTGCATGATATGGACTCATCTGCTTTAGTGTAAGACAGGTCACATAGAATCTGTGACTCTTGCGCTGGCCTGCCCAGTATGCAACTTGATCTACTCTGAACATGGCTTGGTAAGGCAAATAGAGCAGCTTTGGCTTCCATAACTAAAAATAGCTGGTGTCTCTTGGTTACAGAATTACTCAGGTGAACTCAATTCCTTGGTGGCTCTGCATGAACTCTACAAGTACATCAACAAATACTATGATCAGGTGAGGTTCCTATTTTCCTTCCAGCTTGTTTTTCTTAGGGTTGTAGAGACCCCACGCCCATCTTCCCTACTCTGATTGTGGTGACACATGAGTACACAGAAGAATGTGGCTGTCTTTGGGTGCCCTAGTGGCAAAGCAACATCTGCAGATGGGATTCCACCAGAGCTTGGAGCACTGGTGTCTAAGGAGAAGCAAGTAAGCAATTTGCTGCTTCCATTCTGTCAGACTGAATTTAAAATTCCCCTCCCTCCATCCCTCAGACATTTGTTTTTGTATTTCTCCTTGGCTTATGAAAGGGTCAGTAAGGAAAGGAAAACTGGAGATCCATTGGAGTGCAGGGAAGAATCCAGTTCTCCAGATTTAAAGGAGCACATTCCACAGTTAGAACAGCACCATCAAAAAGGCCCCATTGCTAGCAGAAGCCGGCCCTGTATCAGGCAAGGAAGACACCCAGAACAGGTCCGGTCAAAGCTTCTGAGATTTGGGAAGGCTCAGATTACTGTCCCTGGAAAGCTGGGTCTCTACAAGCAAGAGATCACCCTTTGAGGTGTTCTCCTCAAATATCTAGGCCTGATGATGAAGGCAATCATTGGCTTAATAGCTCTGATTCTGCCCACAGATCATCACAGCCTTGGAGGAAGACCCGATCGCACAGAAAATGCAGCTGGGATACCGCCTGCAACAGATTGCCGCGGCAGTGGAGAACAAAGTCACGGATTTGTGAGGCGTCCAAGGGACAGTTGGGTAGAAAGAGTACAGGCAGCACCCGCTGCCGTCCCAACCAGTGCTCCACGCTGAGGTGGAGAGAAGCAGCAGCAGATGGTCAGAAAATGCCAAGTGCAAGGAGTCTACGGTGCCAGAGAACTACTTTTTTTGTTACAGACTCTTTTGAAAAATAACACTTAAGTCATGATAATAATGAACTTGTTCCCAGAAGCCGAAGGGCTCCACCAGATGAGCTGAGCTATTTTCAGCCAGGAGGCCAGATGTTACGAATGTGCCAGGGGAGTTAGAGAACGGTGCAGCTGTGTGGGATGCTGGATCTTTAACACCCCCACCCGAAGAAGGAGGGGGGAACCTGAATTTGCATTGAGCTTCCTCTGGACTCTCTTGGATCCCTGGAGAGAGTATTCTGCTGGCTAAGCATGGGGAGATTCATCCCTGCCCTTCTTGCTGCGCTTGGAGTCCCTCTTAACACCCAACAACACCTACCTTCCCCTGGAAGTATTGGGGACAAGCACAACGGACAGAGGAGCAGGCAGAGGAAGGAAGATCTGGCTTACAGCTTGCCCAAATCCCTGAAACGTGGGGGAATCGCCTCTCTTCCTCAGCCATACCCACTCAAGATGGTCCTCAAGTTTCCTGGGTGTGCGTTCCTGTAGCTGCTGCTTCCGGCCCATGCCCCATCCTGCTTTCCCAAAAGCACAAAGGACACGATCCCCAGTGGCCTCGCCCTCCCAACGTTGAATAGGGGCTGCCAATCACCCTGCAGAGAAGGGGCAAGATCTGTGCAAGCTTCAAGGTTTTGAGGTCCTCCCCCCCCCCTTTGTGTTAGCACTTCTCAAGTAAACATTTACCTTCAGGGAATTACTTCCTCCTAGACCAGTGTTTCTCAACCTTGGCTACTTTCAGATGTGTGGACTTCAACTCCCAGAATTCCCCAGCCAGCCATGCTGGCTGGGGAA